TGGTGGAGGCACCCCCCGGGCTTCGGCCAGGGGTTTCGGAGACAGCGTCTCAAAGTTTTGGCCTCTGCAACATCCCGTGGCAAGGAACTCCCTGAAGCGCGTGAAGATGAAGCGCCCTTATCGTTCATCTAAGCTCCTGCGTGTTGCAGGTGCTATTGATGGTCGCATTTAAGACATCTCTTTCCTCCCCTTCCTTGTCTCTCGCAGACCTCCTTCCATGTCACCTCGCACGCGTTTTCGAATACTCTGGCACAGTGTGGCATGTACAGAAATAACGGGCTCAACACCTCCCTGGAGAAGAGCCACGTCACTGGCCCAGACAACTTCATCACCGCCAATGACCACCTCAACTTCCACCCCAGCTACAACCCGAGCGGCCCGTCGCACTGTTAGATCTGTGGCAGCAACGACGACAATATGAAGCCACTTCAGTTTACTGCCTAGATAAAAAAAACCCCTAAACATAAGCAAGCAAACAACAGCAGTGACCTTATCCTAAATCTGTTGCTAAGCCTCACATGAAAGCATGACAGGAGGCACTACACCGTAGCTGCTAAACGAGGTCACAAGCTATTTCATCAAGAATAAGGCAGGTTTCTATTACAGTCATGCCCTGTGCCATCAGGCTGGGACGAGGCACTCTTATTAGAGCTCTTGGCTTCAGGTTACCTCTCCTGAACGCAGACTTGGGATGCCACAGTTGTTACCACTGAGGAGAGTAAAACTGCATAGACCGTCAGGAAAATAATTCACATGGCACACTAACTTGCAGCAGATTAACACACGTGCTTCACACTATTAACCATGTAAGTCAGGATTTAATGAGAATTTTTCTCCTGAGCACAGGAAATAAAAAATCTTTCAGCTTGGTAATGTGAGACTTGCTATTACAATGTGGTGAATAGCTACAAAATTAGCAGGTTAAAGGTAGCAGTATATTTGTAAAAATAACCTCCCCAAACCAAACTGGTTTATGGGTTTGTTTGTTTTTTTTTTTTTTGTAACAGGACTCCTATCTAGTTAAGGTCACAAATGTAGCTTTGGGGGAAAAGCAGTTTAAATCTGTGTTATCAAAACCGAGTAATTTGTTGGGAAAAACACATACAGCCACTTTGGTACTAGATGAAAATAACCAATTTACAGAATGAATGTTATTAGGAATAACATCTTAATTTATAAAGATTTAATGTGATTAAATGTCAGTTAAATAGCTCGTATGAACCATTTTACTTAATTTATAGGCAGCATATAGTTATAAATACTAGAACAATATACTTTACATATATATATTTTCCCTTAACGTTTTCTCTGTCACTAATGATCCTTTAAACTCTTGGCTCATGTACCACATACCATTAAAATTTAAGATTTTTAAACTGTTTCTGTACTACTTAATGAATAACCAAACTGCATGTTTTCCAGAGATATTAATTAATCCATATTCATGGATTTCTTGTAGAAAGCATGTTGGTCCTTCTAACATCTCAAAACTACAATGTTTTAAGAAATTATTCAAATAAAGACAACTAATGAAAAAGAAAATGCTTTCTTAAGTTTTATTGTAACAACTGTAGTTACACAGCCAGTGAAACTGCATCATTGAGACAGTAACTGCCCTGAAAGGAACACCTTAGCATGTTTGGCTTAAAAACTAGTCTTGAAGAAAAACTAGTCTGTCTGTTTATGGACGAGAAACAGTCCTACCTTACAGGTATAACGTACTCACAGTATATATTAAAAATGAGCATAATACTATTCTAGCCATTTACTAAAAAAAAAAAAAAAGTGTAATAGTATGTCCAGGTACCACTGCAAATGATATTTTTCACATATTAGAAATATTTCCTATTTGTGTCATTTTTATATCGTCTTATAAACTGCACGGGAAGCATGACAACGATATATTTAAACATACTTGCAAGGTAGAGGTATTCTGTTCAGTTAATAACATCACCAAGCAAAAATCTGAAGTCCAAAACTGGACAGTGTGTCAGGCCTTTACTTGTGCTTTTTTTAAACATTCAAACCCCAGCGTAGCTACATGTTCGTGGACCCACCAGCAAGATTTCAATCACGCCTACCAAACAATTCCAGTTTTCACTGCAATGCATTTGGTTATCTCAAACAGAAGAACAGCCGACTACATTCACCTTCGCTGAAAACACACCAATACATTGGAACAAGTCAATATGCTAAGCAGAAACAGAAAAAAGTTAACTTTTAAAATATTTAACATATGAAAATAAATAAGCAACCCTCTGTCATTCACTGCTATTCTTCTATTAGACTCTAGACAATACCTGGAGCTTCTCATAACTTCCCTTTCTTCTCCTGAAATGAAAAATAAGACAAAGCACTGAATTAGTACAAACAGTTGTGACAATTTTACATATATTTTTATCCACAGATTTTTCTGCAGGTGGAATAATTTAGGGATAAGACTGCATCTTAAAAATATAAATTTAATGGCTTTGTCATGTATTTTCCACCTGTTTCCATACTTAATGTATGGAAAATGTGTAAAAACACCCACCTCTTTTCTTCCTTGCCTTAATTTCTTCCCTCTTTGTTTTATTCTTGAACTGAAACCAGTTCCTTTGAACAGTTCTGCATGCAGCATAGCTTACGTCACCCTCATATAGACTGTATCCTGAGATACGTTGGGGTAAGGTTATCCAATTCACTCCCACTGAGGTTTGCTGAGAAGGGAGCAACATCCAAGCTTCAGTTGCAGCCAGCCCCAAGAGACATGCCTCTACACATTGGTTTGCTCAAGACTACAGAGGTTTGCAGTTCCTCCTCATCTCTTCTGCATACTCTGTTTCTCTGAAATGTCCTGTGTCCTCATGTCAGGTTGTTTACCTTACTTAGGTCAAAGACATATTTTCCTTGTGTTTTCTTTCCTACATTTCCCTATTTTAGTGGGCTTAAGAAATACTGACCTGTTTGTTCAGATGTTAGAGACCCAATACACTTTTTTTAAAAAATTTTTAGGAAATACCTGTACAAATTCAAAATATCATCCTAAAGATGACACATTTTACTGCAGAGAATCTACCCAAAACAGTCTCTTTCTACTCTGTATTTTGAAAGCAAGATTTTCGCATTTGCCGATAAAATTATGTAAGGCTGCACTATCAAACCAAGACAAGCTGCAGTTCTTAAACATTTGAAAAATTAAAAGCGTATACATTAATAAAAGAAATGGCAGCAGAGATGGTGTGTTCCTTCCTTGTATAAAAAGCAGCTACACATCAAAACGCATGTTCCTAAAATAGCAGCAAAGAACTGTTTATAAAAAATTAAAGTAGTCCTTGTGGTCCCCTGAGGATCCTTGAAGACAGCCCTTCCTGAAGCACAGAAAAATAGTCACTGTGATAAAAATAAAACAATATACCTGTTTGCAAAGTCCTGAGCGAGCACAGATTTATCTGAGAACTCTGGTATTGCAATCAGGATGCTGTAACTTACCGGTAGCCATAGTAAAATATACTGAGTAGTTTAATGACTTAACATCCAAACTAGCAAGTTTTGTGCTCTGACGGAAAAAAAAGTATCATTGTGTATTTTTTAAAAATATAAACCAGCACTCATCTAAAAAAAAAAAAAAGTAACTTCTTTACATGCTTGAGTAGACCTGAGTTCATGGTTCCATGCACATATCTACTGCAATAGATAAAGCATCAAATTAATGCCTCGAGAGGGTTGAAATAATGGAAAAAGGAGCTTGTTCTGGGCACTCACCAGAGCTATCACCGGAGTGCTGAAAAGGGCCAGGAGGGGCATATAGTCTGTGCCTACTCTATGGCTGCTCGTTACGATCAGTATCAATAGGAAGAAAAAAAATGCTTTTGGTACTGCATCTATCAAGATTCAACCTCAAGAGATTTGTACTGCAGTCCCAAACTTGGTACCACACGCGTAAGACTCTTGCTCATGAATTTGTTCTCACTCAGTATAATCTTTCTACTCCTCAGCTGTTCAACTTTTAATCTGTAATGTGTAAGAGTGTTTTCTTATTGCTCCAAGACACCAGACTTCTCTTTTTTGAATGAGTGATGAGAACTGTACCCAGATACTGCCAGCAGAGCCATTCTTCTCATGGCTGCGGCACCAATTCCAGAGATGTTCGTTGACTCACATCCGCTGTGGGTGCTTGCTCCTCCTTGGCAAGTCAGCAATTCTCATCGGACAAAGTCTGGAAAAATTACTTGCTGAGACCAAAGACGACTGGGAGGACTTGGAGGTAGAGGGCAATACCCATAGCATGTTGATACAGAAACACCAAGGGTGACAGGATGGTTTGAATATCAAAACAGCAATCTTCCTTCCCTCCCTCCCACCCTGAAGACTAGCTCAGTCTCCATGCCTTCTAGGAGAACCTCAGTACTGGGTGTCACAATGTCACCCGTGAGCAAGCAAGCATGTTCATCCCATCCCCACAGCATCAAGGGCTCCTAGACTCACTACCACCAGTCTTCGACAGTGGGGCAGAAAGGATCATGTGCTAATCCTGGATGCTGCAGAAGCCGTGCGACAGAGGATGCCATTTAGCGATACACCGCATGCTTTCTGACTGAATGACTGCTGAACTCTGCCTCAAAGCCAAGGAACCCCTTTTGCTAACGCTTGTGCTGGAGAGGGGCAAGCAGCACAAGGAAAGACTCCACTTCTTGACCACCAGAAAGAAAACTGCTGTTAGGGTTTTGCTAAAACTGCAAAACCCCCTTTCACCTCCCAGAATACCCGCAACTTTTTCTGCCTATGTACTTTGTACATTCTCCTTCTTCGTTTTTTGTTATTAAGAACAATATTCCCTTAAACGGACACATCTTTAAAGATCTGGATTCTGTTTCGCAGTCACAAGTAAATCACAGGCTATTGTCACACAGGGGATTATAGTCTCAGATAGCCGGTGGCTGAAGACAATAGAAGGCAAGAAGCAAGAGCAGCAGATGAACTGAGATCCTGTTCCCAGGTTCGGCTAACACAAACACTGTGATCATCTTCAAGGGTGACATCCTTTACTCACAAACGTTACAGGCACAAGCTAATTACATCTTCTGACTACAGTCAGGAGAGAAAAAAAGATAACGCAAAAATACTACTCACTAAAGACGATGACACAAATCATAGGAGCACTCTGGTTTCACGGTCCATAGTCAGAACCCCATTTATTAAACATTATAAACTTATCAATGTACACCATTTCCTATATACAAATCAAGTTTATCAATTTAAAAAAGTGCTGTTTGAAATTAGGTTTTATTTAAAGCACAAGGTAATCGGAATTGTATCTTAACTGAAAGTGAATCAGTTCACGAGTAGTATTGAGAACACAGACACATCGACAGGGGCACAAGACACCTTCTAAGTCTTAATGTTGATTTACT